TCTCTGAAATATCTGGACTTGTCTTTTTCTCTCTTTCTTTCTCTGTCCCTCTCATGTTTTTAAGCGTATTGCTTATAAGAGAAATCAGGAGCACAGATGAGCTTCTGATGTTTGGTTAGAAATGGTATTTTAATCTTAAGCTTTTTATTTGACTGTTATGTTTCCTAAAAACATGCTAGTTCCACAGTTGCTCCCTCATATAAATAAAAATGGTTATTCTGTATCATCAGTATTTCCTTTCCGTTCTGAATCTCATTGGCAATAATGACTGTTTGGTCGAAATGATGGTTCCACTGACTGGAAAAATCACAACATTTTAGCCACTTCAGAGCAAATATGAAAAAAATATACACTACAGTTCAAATACCATTTACTTTATCAAAAATACAGTGAAAACTATTTGACTGTAAAAGTAGTATTACAGTGAAATAATATTGCAATTTAAAATAACGAGGGCAAAGCTGAATTTTCAGCATTATTATTCCAGTCTTCAGTGTCACAGATCCTTCAGAAATCATTCTAATATGCTGATTTTTGTGCTCAAGAAACATTTGTATTATTATCAGTTTTAAAAACAGCTGTGCTGCTTAATATTTTTTGTCAAAACTGAGATAATTTTGTTAAGGATTCTTTGATGAGTAGTTAAAAAGAACAGAATTTGAAATAGTAACAACTTAAAAATATTTACTTTAACTTTTGATCAATTTCATGTGCCCTTGCTGAATAACAGTATAAATATGACATATTTTATAAATAATATGTATATAAATAAGTGTGTGTGTGTGTGTGTGTGTGTGTGAACATATGAATGTTAACACAACATTCAGAAATATTTATTATATTAGCTATTTTACCCAGCTCGAATTTTAAGCCACATCTGTGTTGTGCTGAAGAGCTGTGTATACCATCTCTAATGAAGGAAGGAGGCTGGAAACTGTTGCACTATGGAGCGCTGCCATTTTCCACCCTGGCAAACATCTGAAAAGCAAGACATAATCTGAACTCTGTCTGATGAGCTGTCTTTTCAAAGATCACGCACACGGACGCCTTCCATCTTTTCCTTTTCTGCTTTCGCTTTGCATGTAATTGTGTGTTTTGACCTCAATCAGAATATTTTCCACATCACAACTGTATTTCAAGTCTTGCATTATCAAAATCTCTTTCTTTTCCCCTCGTCTGCGCGGAGGATGGACAAACTTCTGAGCGAGCAGAATCTGTTGCGTCCTCTCTTCATAGGTATTGCTGATGCCAAGTGCTTTGTGGTTAAATGCATCAGCTTCTAATCCTGCTTAAATCAGCACCATTTCTTAATTCATACAGATAAGCAAAGCATTTATGGGCCTTAACAGCCCAGACTAATTACTATTCCTTAGATAAGTGCTCGTCCGACTAAATTCTTTTGACCTTCCATTTCTACTCAAAGGAACAGATAGACGTTTGCCTGCTATCCTCACATGCAAAAAATGTGATGAGCGTTAAGTTCCTTTTTTTTTTTTATATGTACTTGAATATTCAACACGTCAACACTCAAATTATGCTCTATTTTCATATTCCTAATTTCTTAATTGCCCTTAATTGCTTAATTACATATTCAAATGAACATATCTGGAGGTCAGAGACACATGCTAATTGAACAATCAATCAGCGTTAAGCTAGCGGAGTATTGTCCACCTTTGATTGACAGCACATTAAGAGTGTGTGATTGGCTGTCTGTTTGTTGACATTGAGGACTGTAGATGGTGACTGTACTTTTCTGTCATGAACCTCCTTGATATTGCATAAAGGAAAATCAAGTCGTAATTTCGAGATGGATGTAATTTTCACCTTGAAAATTATATTTTTATACCAAAGGAACAGATCAGTCATTCTTACTATAATATAATACTCATTTATTTAACTCTATAAATGAGTATTATATTATAGTAATAGGGATATTACTCACTTGACAGTTTTTGAATATGGAAATTATATTTATTTTATTACAATATCAGTATTACAACAGATCGGAATACTCAGAATTCATATTTATTTTATTTCCCTAACAGTATTAGAATTGCATGATCATTGAGGTAAATTACACAATGATTATATTTAGGCTATTTATTTATTTAGATAGTGTATAATATTTCATAATATTATTTAAATATTATGTAATTATTTAAATAGTAGTTGCTATTTTGTCAGATCCCCAATTTCTATACACCTGTAAACAGAAAAATGGCTAATTATATACCATTACAGTAGTTATTAATATTTTGAATTTGTTGTTATTTTTACATGTTAAAAATATGTAAAAGATGATTCACCCCAAAAAATGTAAATTCTGCTATCATTTATTCACCCTCAAGTACTTGCATGAACTTTCCCTTTTAGTGTACATTTAAAAATTTAGTTTATGTTTTTGTCTTATGTATTTCTGTATAGCTTTAAATGTTTCATCTAATATTTATATTCTATTTAAATTATTAAAATATTTTAAACTAGTTTAATTTTAATGTTATTTAACTATTTTTAATAACAACACTGATTTATCAACAGAAATATTCCATACACTTCATATTTTTATTCTGTGTAAAGTTATAATATTATTTTAATGAATCCATTTTTTTTTTCATGTCCTCAAATTCATTTTCATCTTAGTCTTTTATAAAATCTATTTAACAAACAACTTCCTTAGTTTTTTAAAGGTACTACATAAGAGGAATGACCCAGGTATGAAAGTCTTCCTTTTTTGCATTTTACTTTTCATTTCATTTGACTTCCAAGAGCTCAGCACCATGACAGAAGGCACCTGGTCCCAGATCAGTGTTGAAAGGTTACTTCTAACCCGGAGGTAGAGAACAGCTCTTGCAGAGCGGAGCATTTCATTTCCACTCTTAATTATGTTGTTAACAGTGCAAAATGAGCCAACGGTCCTTGCTCAAGGAACACAGCACTTCACGCATACATTGCCATTACACAGCGTGTGATCTTAAGCATCTCTTTGAGCGAGAGAAAAGGTCATAAATGTGTGTGTGAACGTGTATTCATGTGAGCAAAGTCAACGGCCCCACCCCGACTTTGTAATGCACGGCGAGTATGTGGGCGATTAGACAGTTACCCGCCTCTACTGCACACTGGGAACCCCTTGAAGGAGCTGATGGAGCTACCTTAACAGTGACCAGTGCCTCTCTCTCTCTCTCTCTCGTTTTCCCTCCTCCTCTTTTTTTTTTCTGTGTGTTGTTCTCCCTCTTCCTTGCGGGCTCCATCCATCAGACTGGCATGCGTGCAGCCGCCCCGCTCTCAGCCACCATATTTCACTGCCTGCCATCAGAGGCCTGACAGCCCTGCGCTCACTAGGAAATTGCTTTGGCTGTGAGCGGAATTTCAAGCACCGGGTGCTGCCCGTTCTCTCCCCCCGCTCGCATCTCTTTCTCTCTTTCTCTCTCTCTCTCTCGGTCTTTGACTCCTGATGTTTCTCTTTCTCTCTCGCTCTCTCTTCCTTACTTCTGCTTTACCTCCCTCTCCCGACGACCCGCGGGATTCGAGGTGCGCTTCGGAATGCGTAATGAAGAAAGAAAAGGCTTGGCGTAGATGGAGAGAGCGCGGGAGGGGGTCAAAGGGTAGAGGAGTGGGCCCTATTATGCCTGCATCAGATGCTTACAATGTACACAACGGATGGAGAGAGATAGGCAGCCTCAAACAAAATGGCCATTACTTTGTTGCCGTATAGATACGTGGAGCATGATGCTCCTTTTGATGCCTTGTCACCGAAGCGCCGTGACTCACTCTTTCTCTCTCACCCACACACGCGGCGACGAGGCGCATCAAACGGCAGCCCTCCGCGTGGTGACACCTCGTTCTGCTCGACAGCGTGATCCTTAACCACAAAACCACACACAAGTGTCTCTCTCATCATCTTGCCAAGTGCAAGCTTAATGATGTGGCAGCCATGATGGAGCGGCAGTTTCCTGCACTGCAGTGCTGTTAGACTGTAACTGAGACAACACAGAGCCAAAATGGCATGTGGGAGGCTTGAGAGGGGGCGTATCTGAAGGATTGTCCACCGTTTGAACACTCTAAAAGCTTTTTTGAGGATGTAAACACTTTTCACGTCTTTTTATACTGCTTTCGCAGAAGTACATGCATGTTTTCGGTCTTCTTTGTTGAGATGTTTCTTTCTGGTGACACTTTGCCATTTGTTTCCAAATTGAATTTCTGCTCTGTGAGTTTTTTTTGCTGACAAATATTATTGTATGTGTTTCCCGGTCCACATTAATCATTTATTCTGCATTAAACGGCTGAAGTCCGGGCCGCGGTTGAGGTAGTGAGGCGTGCCTGCTTCGCTTGCTGACTCAAGAACATGAATTGATCCCTCTAAACTATATGGCAGTTGTGACAGCTGTTCTATAAAACACCCAGGAGTGTTGTTGCTCTTTCACAGGACCATGATGAATAATGCTGTGCTTATTTTTGCACTCGGAGCATTGGTGATGTGAAACCACAGCATAGTTTGATAGTTTAATATTTAAGATGTTTGCTTGCTCTGTTTTTCTATGGGCAGTCAATCACTTGCTGTCTGTGTTAACTGGAAAAATGAACATTTTGTCATCATTTACTCAACTTCATGTCATTCCAATGACTTTCTTCCATCCATGGAGCACAAAATGGGGATCTTTAGAAGCCTGGCTGCATTTATTTGATCAAAAATACAGTATAAGTAATCTTTTTTTTAAACAAAATTTTCCTATTGTAATATTTAAAAAAAAAACATCATTACTCTTTTTTGAGACATTTTTCAGGATTCTTTAAAATATTTAAAGTAAAAAAAAAACAATTTATTTGCAATTGAAGTTGCAGTTAAAACAATCCTTATCTTTTTTTATAAAGATTTTTTTTCTCTTGTTGATAATGGTGAGTTATTTTAAATACTGTTCACATGATGTGTTCTGCCTGTTCATCTTTCCACTTGTCTGTCTGATCTCTCTCAATCATTGTGTCTCTCTCCATGTGATTTACAGAAAGTGAGTTTGGAGTTCTACATCGACGTGCACGCCCACTCCACCATGATGAATGGCTTCATGTATGGTAATGTCTTTGAGGAAGAGGAGAGAGGGCAGAGACAGGCCGTTTTTCCTCGACTTCTGTGTCAAAACGCGCCTGACTTCTCTCTTGTAAGTCTAATGGGTATGACCATGGTAACTTTTAGTGCTCTTTTGTTTGTAAAACACAAAGAAGACCCTCAAAATGCTGTAAGGTTGCTTATTTGTTGGTCTGTTTTAGTTATATTTACTCCTATTTAGACTTTTTAGACTTTATGCTACTTTCATGTACTGTATATGGGCCATTCTACAGAATTGGTCCAAAGTCAAGAGTTGGAAACGTCTTGAAAAAATTGTCTTTTTCCAATTAGTATGTATGCAAATTGTATAATATCCAAGGTACACATTTCTAGTAATTGTGTAGTTAACTCTCATATTGTATTTTTTGAAAGTTTTGGAATATCTGTCCTCTCCCCAAATTTGTCACTACCGGAACACAGTAATAACAATTTAATTAGAAGGGTTATATTGACCTATTAAGATTTTGCTTACATCTACATTGTAAATATATGTTTTTGCTATTTTATTTTTCAGGTAAATCAATAACAGTTACATTTTTAACAATATTTCAAGTGTAATGTATGAACTTTGTTGTATTTTGAATTAAGTTTTTCTTTGCAAAAGGCAAAAAGTTGATCGTACTGATTTCAAAGTTAGGGATTCGTTAGTTTGAATATACATTGAACCAAAAACTCTCATAACATTTTAGTTGATAATTCAGTATACTTTATTTTTGACAAAACATCCCAAGTTTTGGTAGTGACTGCACATTTTTGTTAGAGACGGTAATGCTTTGGTAGCCACCATATCACATTACAGAATTTTAACTTGCATACTAAAACATACTAAAATAAAATAAAAATTGCATAACTGTACAAAAATTTTGTTTATTTCCCCAAAATATGAGGATTGTGTGTTCCCTTTTGTCAGTACTGAAACAATGATGACATGTTTCGGTAGTGACCATTTTAGATACTTTTGAACCTAGTTCAAAGATGCTAATCAGCACATGGTTATCTAGCACAGTTCAGAACAGTGGTACACATGTAAAAACTAAATGTTACGGAATAACTCCCAAAAAAGTGTGCTTATTTGCAAAAAAAAAAATGTGTTCTGTAGTGACATTCCTTAAAGTAAAACACAGATTTTTCAGACTTTTGATCACATTTACCTCAAAATAATGGAACCCATCTACTCACACCTTGTAGCTATGAGAGAGGGGGACACAGGAATTTTTCCTGATCATAAATTTAGGGGTGTAGTTAAAATCAGTCTCGGCCAATGGAATAAAACATACACTGTTTCGGTAGTGACATAAAAAAATGCGGGACACATTTTTTACATAAAATTTCATAATTTACAAAGAAAATATAAAATAAATATATTTTTTGAACTTCACTTTTTAAAAGAATCAAAAAGATACTTTTAAAAAAACAACAATGGAAAAAATTTTTTTTTGTTTTTTGTTGTCTGTATTCAGAAGGATTGTTTGGATGGATGTGTCTTCCAGCTCATTGCATCCCTTCCACTCTTTCAACATTCTTCTTTCTTGTTCTATTCATCTGGGCTCAATTATAGTTTCCAGAGGCTGTTTCTATCTTTGGCCTCATCATTGTGATCATGGTGTTGTGATTAAAAGCAAATAGATGAATGAAAAAAGCAAAGATTGATAGTAGATTAATAGATAAACTTCTGAATTATATATAAAAAAAATAGTATAAATAAAAAATGAATGGACAGATGGATGAATGGATGGATACAAAATGTATAAATTAATATGGATGGATAGATAATAGAAGGATGAACAGATTGAGTTATAAATTGATTGATAAATGTATTGATGCTATGTGTTTGAATGGATTGATAGATAAATTGGATATACAGAAAATGGAGAAAGTGATTACATATGTATAGATAGACATAATGATGGATGGATGGATGGATGGATGGCAGATCGATAGGTAAGAAGATGGGTTGAAATATGGGTAGATAGATGGTAGATAGGAAGATGGGATGAATAGGAATTTGGGTGGATAGATGGTTAGAAATATGAGTATAGATAGATAGATAGATAGATAGATAGATAGATAGATAGATAGATAGATAGATAGAGGGATAGAGGGATAGATGGATGGATAGATGGATA